TTGTGTTCGAGGATTTCGTTAAATCGAGGTTCTGTTCGATACATTTTACTGTAAGTTTGGCTCGAGCTGAAGAAAATCGTTCCTTATTCCGAGGACTTCATTATATAGAGGTTCATTAAATCGAGGTTCCATAGTTAAGAAATTAAGTGAATTTTCCATGCTAAGCAATGAATTTCAAGTCGCATCTACTTTGGTAATAAGGACAAACATAGCTACATTTCATAGGATACAACCATACCACACCCAAACGTTACAAAAAGGCCAATACCTCACTGAATGCAAGAAAGACAAAGCTGTATTACTTTATGTTTGGCCTGCCCTTTTCTTATTTTAACTCTTAAGCTAAGATTTTGTACGAGTTGAATCTTTTTAGAAAATGAGGACTAGTTAACGAAGCTGCATTTCATAGCATACTACTATGCCACACCTACCGGTAGTTATAAAAACGTTTCCATAATGCCAACAATCAGATCAGATTGCATGAAAGGTCAGGCTGTATAATTTTTCGGTCGTTTTCACAAAAGAAATTCGAAAGTTTAGAACATAGAACAATTTTTTTCTTTCGTTTTGAGTAAAACTCTAAGATTAGTAATCACCCAGAACAGCAAAAAATAGGTTAAAAATCTCACAACAAACTGAGGCAAAACTCATCTTTTCAGTCTAAAATCACTCTCGTATAATTCTGTTAAAAAAGCTAAAAGTTTGTAGTGGATATAATACTTTACTCATAGTCAAGTTTATCGATCAGTTAAATCTGATGCAACTTAGACTAAAAGGAATTTGCAATTTGCAATTTTGCAATTTAGTCGTGCTATAGGTTATGGTTTTTGATTCTCGCGTAAAATAAAAAAAAATTCTTCAAAATCATTAATTGGCAAACGTGATATAAATATTGAATCGACAGTCAATTGATTTTTTTAGAGTGCTTTTACTAAACCGGTATGAGTGACAATAAATGTAATAGTTACAGGTAAACAAAGAAAACAATAAAATTAGAGGGTAATATAGTTCGTATTAGTCTATCTATTTCACGGCTTAAGTAAAATCACTCTAGATAGATACTCTCTGAATAGCTTTGCTTTTGCCCAACCTATATTTGGAATTTTACAACCCTGAACAGTGTTAAGCTTCCTAATCTTTAATTAACTTCGCAAGCCACACTTGCATTTATGTGAATTTATTTTTGTGTATTTTTTAATGCAGGTTATCAAAGATGACATGGCGATGACATACCACATGGAAGGATCTGTGAATGGGCATTCCTTTAAAATCGAGGGTGAAGGCAGGGGGAAGCCGTACGAGTAAGTCGATCAACACGCCTCCCTTCATCTTTAGGTCATTTTAAGTGCAATAGTTCTTCACTGTTATCAGTCGGGAGAATGAGATTTCTAACACCAGAAAGCTGAGAAACAATTCCGAGCTCCAGGTAAGAATCGAACTCACGACCCTCTGAGTTCTAGTTCGGATGCTCTTGAACCACCGAGCCACTGGAGGCTCTATCAACCCTTTAAACCCTAAGATCAAAATTTGAATTCTCATTTGTTGCCCCTATTCATTTCCCACGGAAGTAGTAAGGAGAAGTTGATAAAATATCAAGCAAATTCATCTTGTATGATCATGTCCGTAATTCTCATGACCGTCTGTTTTACAAAGCATTCAGATATTACAGGGAGAAATTGATGCTGAACACTCTTAGGGCCTATTGGTTGAAGGCGCGAGTAGGGTTGATATTTAATTATAACTACACCAGTCATTAAGTTCATTTAAGAGAACAAAGATAGTCATCAACTTGCGAATATTTTTTACGATGCAAAGTCAAATTTT